AAAAAAAAAAGAAAACTCAAAAATGAAGATAACTTAAAATGGAAAACACCATAATCCTCATACTCACTGATGATCAGAGTTAAAACCTCAGGTATCATTTTCTTCTTTTTTTGTTTTGAGATGGGGTTTCCCTCTGACTCCCAGGCTGGAGTGCAGTGGCGAAATAACAGCTCACTGCAGCCTCAACCTCCTGGTCCCAAACAATCCTCCCACATAAGCCTCCTGAATAGCTGGGGCTACAGGCGTGGGTCAGCATGCCCAGCTGATTTTTAATTTTTTTGTAGAGATGGGGGTCTGGCTATGTTGTCCAGTCTGGTCTTGAACACCAGGGCTCAAGTGATCCTCCCTTCTTGGCCTCCCAAAATGCTAGGATTACAGGCATGAACTACCACACCCAGCCCTGTTTTCTTCTTTATGTGGGTTTTTGGGGATGGGTTATATAGGGACTATTCATTATTGTTTGTGGTTTTTCTGACACAATTCTCATTTTAATGTCGTTGTTATGAAATTGCCTTTAGCTACATTGGATTTTTTTGGGTGTTTTTTGTTTTTTTGAGACGGAGTCTCACTGTTGCCCAGGCTGGAGTGCAATGGCGCGATCTCAGCTCACTGCAACCTCTGCCTCCCAGGTTCAAGTGATTCTCCCACCTCAGCCTCCCAAGTAGCTGGGACTACAGGTGTACACCACCACACCCCGCTAATTTTTGTATATTTACTGGAGACAGGGTTTCACCATGTTGGCCGGACTGGTCTCAAACTCCTGACCTAAAGTGATCTGCCTGCCCCAGCCTTCCAAAGTGCTGGGATTACAGTCACGAACCACTGCGCCTAGCCTTATTTTCTTAAATTTTATGTCACGAAAAAAAAAGGTTTCTGCTAAGCCTCATATAGATGCCCTGCACAGCAGTCACTTGTGTGTTTTTTAAACTCTGAGTTTAACAATACTGCCTTGAAGCAGAACTGACCACACACACACACACACACACACACGCACACACACACACTCTGCATGCCCTACAGACTCTGGCTTTTTAAGCAGCTAACCCACACAGCCCATCTTCTCCTTTAGCCTTGTTCTGCCGCCCTTCCTGCTGTGCCCACCTCCATCTCATGCTCTGTGGAGTTATCTATGTAACGTCCACCTATAAATGATAACAGCTGTCTCTTAATACCTTCCCATCTGGTGTTTTGCATAAGATAGGCATTGCATACAGAGTCAAATCTCATCTTCACAAAAGCCCTTCCAGGCAGCTGTAATCTCTCCTGTTGGATAAGGAAACTCAGGGAGATGGACAAGGGAGACTCAGGGAGATGGTAGCTTGCCAAGATCACCCAGGCCATGGGCAGAGAAGCTGGGATCCAGCTCAGGCCCCCAAACCCATGCCCTTTTACCAGCTGGGAAGGAGATCTGAGTGTGGGGTAGGCAAGATCATTTTTCTGAAGAGACCAGTGAGAATTCAGTAGAGGAGGATTAGTGGGAAACAAAGTTACCATGGTATCAGCTAACATTATTAAGCTTGTGACAGAATTAAAGAGAGTGTTTTAAATTTTTTATAAAGACTTTGGGCTGAGCACGGTGGCTCATGCCTGTAATCCCAACACTTTGGGAGGGTGAAGTGGGTGGATCACTTGAGGCCAGGAGTTCAAACCCAGCCTGGCCAACATGGTGAATCCCCATCTGTACTAAAAA